CACACACACACACACCTCTAACACTCCAAGGGTAAAGAATAGTCCAAAAAATAAGTTCCTTGGTAAAGTTCGCATTTACAGAAGGTTTAAGCCAAGCAAAAAAGGGGACTCTTTCTTCACAAAAACGTCTAGAATTAAAACATTTATATTTAGTTAGCTAAACTACCTACTCTGTAAATTCAAGGACCCCAAAGGAAGTTCCTTCACTGAAATGTGATTCAGTAAGAGCCACACAGAATTCATACACATTTCATAGAAGTCAACTGCACATACTACCTGTTCTCAGTCTAATGATTTTCTAAATCCAGCTGTTTCTCCAATGTGTTCCATGAGGCAGATCCACACAAGCTAAATTTGTTTGGTTTTCTGAGACAGGTTCATACTATGTAGTTCAGGCTAGCCTTGAACTCACTATGTAGCCCAGGCCTCGAACTCACAGTAATCCTACTGCCTCAGCATCCACAGTGCAGGAATTGCAGCCGTGTGCCACCATACTCAGCTTACACTAATTAAATTAAATATAAGACACAGGTCTGTATAGCATGGATGTACTGAGAGGCCCTAATAAAGATGGCATTCAAGCACAGCTTTTAGCTGGGGAACAAAACCTTCCACATAGGAACAAGATACAATACTAACATTAGACAAAAGAGTACAGTCAGCTCGGGCACAAATGCAGACTTATTGTGACATCTGATGTTAACTGGGCTTCTGCTTCCGAAAGGCAAAACCCAGGGAACCTAAGGCACAGTCTGAACTCTGGCAGAGTAACAACACAATGTCACTTCATGTTAATCAGCCATGGTCAGAGAACTACTTGTACATCGTGATCCATAACATAGAGATGGCAAAGACAAGAGGGCTAAAGAGGCTGCAAAACTCCCCATGCGGAGTGTCTGGTCCTCGGAAGGGAGCCCCAGCCTGCATCAACAGGGATGCTTCCTTATGTAATTAATCCGGGGACCTGCTCAGCACAGCTGAGGGCCAGGAGCTCTCCAAAGTAATGGCCAAGATGAATATTTGGGTCACTTTTTTACCTTATATGCCTGAGCCCACTGGTCCCCTAAAACAGCCACTATCTTGCTAGTAATAAAAGTGCTCATTGAACATTGACTACATAATGTCTGAGCTACTTCATTCCATCCTCAAAACAAATGCAAGCACTGGCTCCATTTCTAGCTGAAGAAATAAAGGGTCGCTAAGGGAAAGTGACTTCCCCTAGGTGAACAGCTAAGGGGCTCTCATCTCTACTTACTTGCTCTTTATCGGATCAAATGGCACCTCTTCCAACAGATCATAAATGTAATTATTATATATTTCAATGTAAGAGACAAATACACCATAGACGCTATCTTCATCAACTTGTTCTACTTTACAGAATTCTTGTACATTTATTATATCTGCAAAGTCTGGATCTACTTGTCGTCTAAAAAACAGAAACAAAAAATCAGTCTTATTCACTGTAAGTCTTGATCTAAAGTTAACAATCCCACAGGGAAACTAAAGCTCCAAGGCTGAGTACACAAAACCACTTTGTTCCTATTTACTCAAGTCTGCTGCCACCCCAGCAGCCCACCCTGGGCCCTCCCAGTTTCCCAGCAGACTCTAACCATCTCCCACACAGAGACAGCTTCTCACAACAATGCCATACACCAGGGGCTGGGAACCAGAGGGAACACCCAAGCAAAGACACCATTCACCATCCCGCAGCCACCTCTTCTGCTCCTCACACTGGGGCCAGTGACCCGCAGACGTGATCACTTACTTGGTGGAGGGTGTCTTCGGGTTGAGTGTGGCTTCTCGTTTCTGACGTTCTAATAAGGCATCGACTTCACACTGAATTTCCATACTATTCCTATCATTAGATTTAAAAACCTGAAGGAGGGGCAAAAATCAAACCGTGCTTTTTAGACTTTGACTTACACAGTGCAAAACACATTTAAGAAATGAGCCGTGTATCATTTAAGTTTCAAAATGGCTCTGATACTTTGCTTCTTCCTAACACCACTGTGTCCAGAGGCATCTTGGGCCTGTATAAAATACGCACAACACAGGCCACCTGTGGTAGCGCATACCTATAATCTCAGCACTAGGGAGGCTGAGGCAGGAGGATCACCATTAGTTCTTGGCCAGCCTGGGCTACACCCTGAACTACACAGTGAGACCAAAAAAAACCCCCAAAAAGCAGAAACAAAAACAAAACAAGCTAAACTAAAATAGGCACAGCACAGAAGACAGATACTCACATAGCGTTTAGCCTGAAATGGCCCTACACTGTTGAAGATCATCTTCAAGCACCGAGGAAGCAGTCCTCCTTCCCCCGGAGAACCTGTCATGGTGTGAGTTTTCCCGCTTCCCGTCACGCCATATGTAAAGAGAAGACCTGAGGTGCAGCAAGTATGATGCGTTAAAGTCCCGTGTTAAAATGCCTTCCATTGGGGCCGGGGACTTAGCTCAGTGGTTTCACCGCCTGCGGTGCAAGCGCAAGGACCTGAGTTCGATCCCCAGGACCAAAAAAAAAAAAAGCCTCCCATTATAAGCAAAAAACACGAAAATTAACCTGCTCAAAAACGGCAAGTTTAATATTACTGTAACAAACCTGAATTCAAGAGAAACAGAAATCAAATATATAAACATCAAAGTTTTATCAGAAGATGGGGCCGGGGATTTAGCTCAGTGCTTCTGCTGCCTGCCTTGCAAGCTCAAGGTCCCAAGTTCAATCCCCAGTACCAAAAAAAAAAGTTTTATCAGAAGAGAAGAAACAGGGAAATCCCACCAAACTCCCAAGAAGCGCACCATTTTTGCCATGAATGAGGTCGTCTACTAAGGGCTTCGCCACGATGTCAAAAAGCTCCTGCTGGCTGGTGTGAGCAGCAAACACTTGCTTAAAGGAGTACTGAGTCTGTGGACAGAGAAAATAATAATAATAAAAAAATGTTAAGTCTACTACAAGACTGATTTGATTTTAAGTGACAAGGAAGATCAAAAGGTATTATGATTTAGTCAGATTTGTGGAAATCTCTAAATATTACTTCATACAATATTCTACTTTTCTGGATAAAAAGTCATTTAGAATAGCAGTAGCTAGTGTGGTGACTAATATGTAGTGGTGCACACCTGTAACCCCAGTGCTCAAGAGGGTCCAAGAGCTCCAAGACCCAGGGTTAAGGCGGCACTTGAAGGCAGGGCTCTGGCTTATCTGATGAATCCAAAAGATTGTTTAAGTGCTAAACACTACTGGGAGAGATAAACAGGAGGCAGGTGCCACAGCATTTTGCCTCTTGAAAGACTTTATTCATCGAAAGATTTTAAATGGGAAAATGATAAGATCTCCTTCATGGTTTAAAAGAGCATCCTGGCTGCTCTGTGGAATACGTCCGATATGAAGACTGCCAAGAGAAGCAGACAGTCCAGCTGGGCTGCTGCAGCAGTGTGGTCCAAGTCAGCTCAAAGCGAGGTTAGCAAATCAGTGCGAGCCTGAGAACTGTTTGTCCCCAGGCTACTTCAGCATTTGGAAACATTGTCAGCACACCATGGCTGCAGCACCTCAGCCTGGGTCCCGTGGGCTCTGCTCACAAACAGGTTGTCATCAAACTCGCCCAGCTGGTTCCATTTAGCACAAGCTGCACTGCAGCATCAGCTGTCCTGTAGCAAATGTGAAAAAACAAAAAAAAACTATTCCTTCTCTACAGTTTGAGCGGCTCTGGTCTCGGGGACTAAGGGGATACAGCAGTGGCAGCGGGGCTGGATACAAAAAGAGTGCTTCAAGATCCACTTTGGAGTAGCCCTGTTAGGATCCACAGGTGCTGGGATCTGAACAGAGGATCTGCCGAGGACAGGATCTGAAAATTAAGCTCCTGGATTCTGCCCAGGGCAACTGAACAGGAGATAAGAGAGTAACGATGGTTTCTAACTCCATTTATTTCTTTTCTACATGGTAAAAAAGACTAAAACATTAAAAAATTATTTGTCTAGAAGCCCAAAAAGGAAAAAAAAAAAGATAAGAGAAAGTAATTTAGCCATGCTCAGTAGCACACAACAGTAATCCTAGTACTCAGGAGGACTGAGAGTTTGAAGCCAGTCTCAAAAGACACCAAAAATAAAACACCACCACCATCCTTGCAAAAAAAAAAAAGAGAGAGAGAAGGGAAAAAAATCAAGTGTTGCTTTCTGGACACTTAAAACTTGAGATGGCCATGTGACATCCAGCAGAGATGTCAAGTAAGTGGTTGGATACTCAACATTAGAGCTGAAGAAAAGGTCTAGGCTGGAGATGAAAATCCCAGAGTTTTTTTTTACCTATAATCGACATTTAAAGCCATGGGAAAGTATAAAAGAAAACAGAGCCCTGGGTGCAGCTCAACTCTGTATTTAGAGGCTCAACCACAAGGAGCCAGCAAAGGGCGGTGAAGGAGGAGGGAGAGTGGGAAGGAGCCTGGAGCGGCTGCCGGAAGGAGGCTGCTGAGGCATTGAGGACAGAGAGGCCCGCATCAAATGCAGCGGCGGAGGCCATGGTGTTCTCCAAGAGGGCCGGGTCCTGGCCACAGGTGCACAAAGAATGTGCAGCAGTGGAAAGGAGAGAAGACAGCAGGGAGTCCGCTTCCCTCCGTCCTCCCCTGGTCCCGAAGCACTCGACTTGCTGCCTTGCATGAGGGCTACCTGTCTGCTACCCATCCCGACTATGCTGTCATGTCCATCAGGGCAAGGACTGTCTTACTCATCTTTACAGATGTCCTACCTCCAGCTACCACCTCCGCGCAACACTAGTCCAACTGAGCTCAACTTTGTATTTCTGAGTTTACTCAGTATCGTACTATACATAAAATACTTCCTAAGAGGTTGATACAAGCTAGGTGTGGGGGGTGCATGCTTGTGACCGTGAAAGTGTATATGTAAAACTGACCAGCACAAGATCCTGTCATTGCCCATTAAACTCTCCCTAATATTATGCCCCGAAAGCAGTCCTCTAACTCCAGCGCACCGGATGTGTGCATATCCTGGAAATCAAAACGCTTTAGATACAGTGCTTATGAGAAAGGAAATACGTATTTCAAAAATTGGGATCACGTACAAAACTCTGTTAAATTCAAAAACAGAAAAGCCATTCAGGAAACTCAATCAAGTAAAGACAAGCCGGTTCTGGTAGGAATTACCTCCTTGTCATTTCCAGTTCTGTTTAGTTTGTAGTAGCCCTCGGGAGGGTGGAACTGCACCGTTGTGTCGCTGATGACCTCGATGCAGCTGCACTCTTGGTCAGGGAGGCTCAGCGGGCGCACCCTACAGTACACCTGGAAAACCAGGAGGTTGCCATTCAGCCTCATTTCTCACTTAAGCTCCCCATTCATTCATTCATTCATTCATTCAACAAACATTCGGTTCCTCAACTTATGAGACCAATATAAACTCAGAGCCATGAAAAGCAAAATCTGCTACTGAAGATTGTTGAATGGAAACAGATACATTAGACATGAGAAAAGATTCAAAATATGCATAAAATCCAAATAGATCTGGATAACAAAAATATCGAATTGTACAGGTTGTCTTTCACTATTATATTGTGCACAAATGACTAAGCTTTGCAACTAACAAAAATCTCTCCAAATAGTAAATAAAAGCTGCTAGAATTCTTTGGAATTGGATATCAGTTAAAACTTTGTTAGCTCAACCTAACATTTAATACAGAAAGTATAAAAAGGGGGGGACCTTGGGAAAAACCTATCCAATCGTGTCCCCAAGCATCTGCTGTCCTACTCCAGTGGCAGGGCAAGGAGGTGGATTTAAAATACCTCTGAGCAAACCAATCTTATGTTATTTTGTCTTATTTTATTTTTTATTTTTTGGTACGAGGGATCGAACTCGGGTCCTTGCACTTGCAAGGCAAGTGCCAGAACCACTGAGCTAAATCCCCGGCCCTTTTCCAACTTATTTTAAAAGCCAGTTCCCAAGCCTGAAATCACTTGCAATTATGAGGAGGCATTCAAGGGAATCAAGCTGCACCAGTCTATGAATCTTGGAGTGCAGGGCTCTGTTGGAAACATGTCCCCGGTTACCACATGCAAGTAGGAGAGGGCACTCAAGTCTGAGCACAAAATCTCCCCCCATTCCAAGGAGGATGAAATGAACCCAGGCAGAGACTTCTGATTTGTTATACCACTAATCAACCAGGAATAATGCAGTCAAAGACCGCATTTGCCAAGACTTAATTAATCCTACTAAGGAACACAGCTAGAACCAGGTAGACACAATTCAGTAAATATAATCAATTCTTTTTAGCCCGCTTCCACACCTCTTCCTTCTTCCCTCCCAAGCACACACAGAAGACAGAAAAGGACTGAAGAAAGAACACACACGCATCAAGCCAGGTGAAAACTTACCCCCACCGGCTCCTTGAGGTTCTTCTGGGATCCTTTTTTTACTGCAGGTTTCTTAGGTGTCTTAGCTCTCCTGGCCATGAAAAAATAAAAAAATTAAAACCTCAGTTCAACACTAACATACAAAGACCTCACATATAATTCATACAAAGCCAACCTTCCTCGGGCTTATAAAATTTTTCTGTAGTCGTTCCAAAACACTCCATCCCAAATAACATTAATAATAAGCTGCAGGAGAAGGTGGCATACGTAATCTAAAAGTAATTAAGTTTCCTGTAGCATCTATTTTTGGCACCCAATGTACCTTATTTTTAATACTTCTGTATTTTAAATAGCTTGCACGTTTTCTTGAGCAATAGTTCTACAGAAGCACTACAAATAACTGCCCACACTTACCTCTAGAGACACATGTACACAAGCACACGCTATGTCAACAGTCATTTCCAGGCACAGTGACGAGTCGTTAACCTCAATCACAAAAATGCACAGGGGAAAAAAAAAATGCACAGGGGAGAATATACTCTTAAAATTTATGTCTAGAGCGTGCTTTCGCAGAACTATTCATTGAATACTCAACGCTATGGTCTCAAACTGCCAATTTCTCTCCTTTGCCCTATGGCTCTCTCAAACTACCACACTGGACACCTTGCTCTCTTAAGTAGGAAAAATAGAAAATGTCATTTTCATTTATTTCCCCACCATTTAACATTAAAGTAAAATGACTGGTTTGGACCACAGATTTTTAAATTATTTTTCTCAACATATTCCCAGATGAAGCAGAAGCAAATTAATGTTCTTGATTTGCACGAACTCAATATATCCTTTTTCAAATATAGAGATTTTAACTGGGTATAGTGCACACCTGTAATTCCAGCACTCTAGGAGGCTGAGGCAGAAAGACTGCAATTTCGAGCCCGACCTGGGAAACTTAGCAAATCCTACTTCAAAATAAAAATAAATTTTAAAAAAGGGGCCTGGGGATGGAGCTCAGTGCGAAGGCCCTGGGTTTGATCCCCATTACCGAAGATTAAAAAAAAAAAGACTTTTGACTCTAACTTCTTAATAAAGTGACTGTCCTTTTGCAAGCGTCTAGCCACCCTCTCCTTCACAGAAGTCCTTCCTCAACCGGGAAAGACGCTGCGGTCCGCTAGCGTCGCCTACCAGGGCAGAAATGCGGGCGTTAACTTGGGGCGGGGCCGCCCGGGGACAGAGAGAGCGCCGGCGAAAGGAACTGGCTAGGCCTCAAGGCCACTGCCCGCGACCCAGGATGCCGGGCTCCCGGGCACAGAAACCGCCTGCCGGTCCCCAGGGTCTTCTAGCACCACTGTACTCAGGGCGTCCCCAGATCCGCACCCCTCTGCAAAACGCGATCGGCCGGGGAGGAAAGGAATAGTAGCAAGGGCGGTGACGACGCTAGGCGGGGGGGTAACACCGGCCAGCAGATCCTAGGGGCCGTGTGAACCCCGACTTCGGGAGCCCCTTGCCGGCAGCGGGCGTGGCGGTGGGCACCCAGGTCTGCAGCCGCCGGGAGCAACGGGATCGGGGTCTCGGAGAGGGGACAGCGGGAAGCCCTACTTGGAGGCGCAGCGTGAGGGGCGCAGGCCCGGCCCCCAACCCGGTCCCGCCCGTCCCCACCCTCTCGGGGGCCCCGAACTCACATTGCCTCCATGGCAGCAGGTTTCGTGTGCCCCACACGCCAGAGACGCGGGGCACAGCCGGACAAGGAGAAAAGACGCCGAGAAAAGGCGACGCCGGACTTTGCAGAGGCGCTGCGCTCGGAAAGGCCGGCGGCGACGCTGCGAGTCCCGACGTGCTCCCGCCAGGCGCTGTTCAAACGGGCCAATCAGTGCTCGCTCACGAGGAAGGGGCGGGGCCTCGGGGGAGCGCGCCCTCGGAAGTGGTGCTCGTCTCCTAGGCGACGACGCAAAAAGGGCGAGCCGACTCAGTCAAGGCTCCAAGGAGACCCCTTTCGGGTGTGTTATTCTATACATTTGACAAATATACCATTCTCTCACCACCCCAGTCAAATGTATACTTTTTATTGTTTTATTCTTTTTAAAATTTTTCATTACTGCATGTTTGCAGTACATAATGGTTATGTTCATGGTGGACAGTTGATATATATAAGTAACAAACTTTAATTTTTTATCTTAATAAATTGTATTTCCATTATACTCAAAAATCCCATTGTGCCCCTCGTCCCCCTACTCCCAGCCCTTGCCAGCGCGTTCTTGAGTCCCCTATCGTTTGCCTTGTCCAGAATCTTCTTTCACTCACCATAAGCGTTTGGGGGGTTATCTCTGTGCTGTAGACCTCTGTGTCCTTTGTACTGCCAAGTCGTCTTCCTGGTGTGAATACTTGACACCGCATTCATTAGTTGACAGGCACCTAGTGCTTCTACTTTTTGTGATTATGAGTGAAACCAGTATAATTACTTGCACAAAGACAGGTTTTTCTCATGGGTAGGATTGTGGGGCTTGTGACAGGTGTGAATGAGACATTGCCACACTAGCTGGGAGGGTCTGATGGAGATGCTGAAGAAGGGCTGTGTGGGTTAATTGTGATCTGGCAATTGACTGGATTTAGCCAGTCCTAGGAGATTAGTAACCGCTTCTGGGCGTGTCAGTGGGGCATCTCCAAAGATGATTGGCTTGTGGGTCAGCAAACCAAGGGGGCCGCCCCAGTGATTGTGGGTGGCACCCTGGGTTTATAGCCTGATGGAATGAAAGGGAGAGGAGAAGGAAGTAGCCTGCATTTGAAAACCTCCCCTCCGTTCTGCTTGGGTGTCTTTTCCCACTGCTGTCACCTGTGAACACCAAGCTCCAGCTTCTCCAGTTTCTCCACGTGGACTCCACCAGCGACTCTCTAGAGAGCTTCCAGGCCTTCAGTCTCCAACTGGCGTAGCGGCCTTGATCCCTCTTGTTCTTTGGCTTCCTGAACTGAGTAGCTGCAGAATTCTCTGACACTCCATCCCACAGCCAGCCACTGTGGACATCCTGCTTCTGGCCCTGTAAGCTTATCTAAAAACCCCCTTGCATAATTAAATATATTTTTAATTGATTCTTTTCCTTTGGAGAACCCTAACCAATACAAGGGCAGACCCTTGAAGAAATGCAGACTCACCTTCCCAGGAATCTCCCCCTAGGCCATCTGCAAAATGAATGGTCAGCTGTGTATGTTTTATATACTCAGAAGACGGATTCATAAAACCAAGGAAAGGCTGGAAAATTCACACAGAAACAAGTAATCTGAACTGTATTTCAAATGAATAACTTACTCACACAGAGAAGGGGAAATAACTACATCCAAGTAATTTAGACCATTTACCCTATACCTCCCAGCCTGAAGACAAAAGAAATTTGAAACATATAGTGAATTCTAACTAGTAGGCTTTTTCACACAGGCATTGGTAATCCTAAAACACACAGTATATTCTCAGATGGAGCAAGTAAATATGTTGTAGTTAATGGGAGCAAGTTTTTCACTATTGAAGGAGTTACAAGTATCAAAAAGTAGGAGAGTAAAAAGTACAGTTTTGCAACATTCTCCTCCTTTCTTTCTTTTTTTCCTTTGTTGTATTAAAGATTGAACCCAGGGTCTTAGCACTGAGCTACATCCCCAGTCCTTTTAAAAAATTTTTTGAGACGCAGTTTGCTAAGTCACTAAATTGCTCAGGCTATTGAACTTTCCATCCTCCTGCCTCAACCTTCCAGAGTGAAGGGATTACAGAGATGCTTCACACCCAGTTTATTCTGTGGCATTTCACTAAGTCTGAAATTATGTTTTAAAAACTGGGTTATGCTACCACTCTGTTCTCTCTTGCAAAGTGGCCCAGCCTCAAGCTGTAGGGTGTACTCCTTTTCCTACTTTTACTGGCCCAAACTCGCTCTGCAGAGCCTGTTTCTTTTCCTACCTTTGATAATAAAACTTTGCTACCATTACAAAAATTAAAATTAAAAAAATGTGTGAACCATATCAGTGCTTTTTTTTTTTTTTTTTTTAAACTGGGGATCGAACTCAGGACCTTGCACTTGCCAGGTAGGTTCGGTGCCACTGAGCTAAATCCCCAGCCCTATCCGTGTTTCTTATACTCTGATCTTAAAAATCACTTGAGGCTTTTGCTTAAAATCCAAAACTGGAGGATCCCTAAACCCTCCCTAGGTACTTCGTGTCAGTGAGTTTGGGCCCCAGTGTGTGTATGACATCTATGAGCAAAGTGCAGACCGCCTGAACTCATTGATCTCTGAGGTCCTTCGGTTCTACTCTGGAGCAGGTGAAAGTTCAACAAGTTGCAGAAACCTGTGGCTTAACAGGAAGACAGATGAGACGCCCTGGTCTGCATGGGACAGAGAGAACTGTCGCTGAGTTGAAGCATTCCATGTAAGTACAAAGGGACCGAAAAGCCCCTCAGCAAGCCCTTGGGAAGAACAGCAAGGGACATTTCAGAATCCCTCAAAAGCTGAGTCATCCAGTTGCCTTCCAGAGCGGAGCACTTCAGGAAACACTGGCCTGATTTCTGTGATTTCCGTAAGAAGCACTAGTGCCAGCCTGGGGGCTGTGAAGCACCTGTCTCCACCTGTGGCATCCCCTCCCCAGCCTAGCTCCTCCTGCCCCTGGAGCCTGTCCTTGGGCATCACCTTACCAGCCACATCCAGGCCACCTGCACTTCCCTGTCCTCCCAAAACCCTGCACCAGGCTCATTTCCTGCAGGCTCTTGGCATTTCCTGAATTTCCGGCCTGTCTCTGCCCAGCCAGAGTGCCGGCTCCGCCAGGGAGGAAGGTCTGGTCTGGTCTGGTCTGGATGCCCAGTTCCATGGCTCACCGATGGTCACAGGTGCAGGGATCTCTTCCGGGGCTGAGTCCCAGGGGTCTGCAGAGTAGCAGGTAAAACGTGACTGAACCAAAAGGGAATCAGGATGGCTTTATGAATCCACTCTTTTATCTGCTTTCTCTATACACACTTCAAGGCAGAACATGTCCCCACTGGGAGTGGGTAATTGCTGTGACCGCTGACCAGGAAGTCAGGCTCAGCCAACAAAGACTGCATTGAATCAAATATCTAGATCACTTGCACTCAAAAAGCTTCTAAATTTCCCACAGCGTTCTACCAACAACCACAAATTCATTCTTCAAAACAAGATGGTGCTGGACATGATGGCATTCTCCTGTAATCCCAGCCCTGGGGAGGCTGAGGCAGGAGACTTGCAGGTTCATGCCCAGCCCCAGCAATTTAGCAAGACTCTGTTTCAAAATTAAAACAAAAAGGGCTGGGGATAAAGCACAGTGGTAGAGCACTTGCCTGGTGTGCATGAGGCCCTGGGTTCAATCCCTAATAATGAAGAAAAAAAAGATTGCATTATTCTCTAAAAGCTGAGCACTGGAAAATGAGCAAGGAAGATAAAATTAACCAAGGGGCCTCATTCAAAGGTATTCAGGGTCCATCACAGGGGCCATGTTTCTCAAGCAAGGAAAAGAGAAAGAAGTCTCCCTCACCAGTGTTTTTTGAGCCTGCCATGGTGAGCAGCTGTCACATGGGAGTATGTCACATGCCGTAGTGTACTGAGACTTTTTTTTTTTTTTTGAGGCAGGGTAGTTCAGGCTGGCTTTGAACTCACAGCAATCCTCCTGCCTCAGCCTCCCAAGTGCTGAGATTACAGGCATCTACTACCTGTTTTTATTTATACCTGGCTCAAGACATTTTCTAAGAGCTTAGAACTGCTGCAGTAAAGAATATCTCCAAACCAGGTGTGGTGGTGCATGCCTGTAATCCCAGCACTCGGGAGGCTGAGGCAGGAGGATTGTTGTGAGTTTGAGGCCAGCCTGGGCTCCCTAGTGAGACCCCGTCTTAAAAAAACAAAGAGTACACAAACACATATATACACATATACATACAAAAAAACTCCAGTGAGGTCTTCAGCCAACCCCTTGCCAACAATTTTGGCTTTCTGGGATGGCTCGGGTAAAACTATACCCATGTTAGACATCTAACGTCTATTACTTAATACTTAATGATAATTAGTATCTGTTAACTCATTCTCATTCCACATTAGAATCTTCACAATTGGCATACTGAAAAACCATTATAAAATTCCAGCCAAGTGCGGGTACACACTTGTAATTCCAGCACTTGTGCTCGGGAGGCTGAGGCAGGAGATCACTGTGAGTTGGAGGCCAGCCTGAACTACACAGTGAGACCCTGTCTCAAAAATCCAAAACTTTAAAAAAAAATTACAATTGAAAACACTGTCCAAAATCATACAATAGGACTAAAGTTTACCAAATATAAGAAAACATTATGAAATACTTGATCTTATTCTGTTGATTCTATGTTTTATTCTCATCTTCAAGCATGATGAAAAAGTAGCATAAGCAAAGATTAAATCATCTAGAAGTCCTTCACATTGATCAGCCACAATCTTCCAGCTATCTCTAAACAAAATGGAGAACATTATTTTATTACCTTTAAATGAGAGTTTGAAACACTTTGTCTTTGGCATTACTAGAAAGAGGTGTTTAAACTTTATACCTTTTTTCACTATAAAATTAGAGTTATAAACCGGGTGTGGTAGTACAGGCCTATAATCTCAGCGCTCAGAAGGCTGAGACAAGAGGATCTCCATGAGTTCAAGGCTAACCTGGGCTACATAGCAAGACCCTGTCCGAGAAGAAAAAGAAAATGGAGTTACAGTGAGAAGAGACAGAAGCCCACAGACCCCGCTGGTACGGGATTCTACTAACAATATCTGATCATTGCCCCAAAGCAAAATTCATCCTGAAGCTTGCAATGAATGTACCCAAAATGTAGCAGCCCATATAATTTTATCAGTCTGCCCTTCTCCCAGAGGAAGTAAACAGATAATAAAATAATGAAATCATATTTCTTGACCATTATCATCCAATATGAATTGTTAGTTGTCCTTAGAGCATTAGATGATGAGCTATTACAGAGGCCTTGAAGCTAAATCCCCAGCCCATGTACTGTCAATTTAAACAACGGATTCTCCAAAGATAATGAGTTTATTTGGGAATGGGCATCACTAAGGGATTATTGGTGCTGTGATCCATTATGTGCATGTGCAAGGAGGTCAAGGCCAGGGGACATCTTCAGAGGCCAGAGGAGAAGGATTCCATGCCTTGTTCTCAAAACAATACAGTAACCTTTGGCTACAAGGACAAATAGCAGAGATGCCATCGGTGTGTGTAAGGCTGGACAGGCAGCTGCTGGTCAGATGTCCTTGCAGGATTTTTCTGTACAAGGCTGCGGCTCTGCAGTGTCTTTTGTGACAGTTCTTGGTATCAGAGATTCCTTCATAATCTCCCAGCTTTATTTATTCCTTCTTTTTGGCAAAACTCTGACACATGAGACTCCATTTTTATGGAGAAAGGAAGTGGGAGACATACCCTGAGGGGCTCAGGGGCTGCAGCTTGCATCCACCCAGCAAAGCCGACAGAGCCTGTGCCTTCAGGAATGTGTGATGCTAGCGTGACTCCAAGTTAGGCCCCTGGTCCCCCTGCATCAGAACCATCGGAGGCACTTGCTCCAGGCAGATGATCTCCAAAACCTACACCTAACCTAGTAAAGCAGAGCCCCTTGAGCCACCTGGGAATCTGGATTTGTCACAAGCTTTACCTGGTGTTTCTGACTCACAGTAATGCTTGAGGATGTGGCATGTGCTTGGCCCACTAGCAAGGTATTTAACATCCTGTGCATGAGAATCCTAAATTCAGCAGCATATCTGGAAGGCTCACAGCATCGCATCTCCAAACACAGTACTTCTCTTGGGTTACAAAAGTGACAACAAGCACAATCAATTGGAATTCCCTCGTCCACCTCCACAATTTAACACATTTGACTGGCACTGCATAATACTTTGTACCTCAAATGGACAACAAGAGGACAGGGCATAATACAACATGACACCCAGCCACAGGCTGTGGATTTAAACCAAAACAATTTCCAGCACTCAGGAGGCTGAGGGAGGAGAATCACCAAATCCATTATGATGTAGAAACTTGCACTTTGAAGGCTGAATGGACTTGTGGGAAGAGAATTCCACCCCAGTTCATTCCCTCGCCAAGGTGGTGTCTGAATTCTGAGTGTTTCCCCAGCCTCCAGGGCTCCCACTCACCCTCCTCCCTCTTTCCCAAGTCCTTCTAGGGACCTTTCCTCTCATGCTCCCAAAGGAGCTACCAGGCCACTCTGGAAGCCTTGGAAGAAGCTTCGTTGCATGAAGTTCACCCAACAAATTTCAACTTTTAAAGAGTAGGGCAGCTGGGTGTGGTGGTGCATGCCTGTAATCCCAGCATTCTGGGAGGCTGAGGCAGGAAAGTTTGAAGCCAGCCTGGCAATTTAGCGAGCTCCTGTCTCAAAGTATAAAAGTTTGAAGACGGCCAGGATCTAATACAGTGCCAAAGCCCTGGGTTCAATTAAAGAGAGAAAAGAAGGACTTACTTGAGCCCATTTTAAAATCACCATCCAGAATCAGTGCCCACTTAGAGAAATCTCTGAGTTAAATACCCTCTGGTGTGAACCCTTTCAAAAGCACCCAGGAGTTGGAGATATTTCGGCCTTTGTGAGCCAGAACCACACCACCAGTTCACAGCATGGGGAGTCGCTGCTGAAGTGACACGAGGCACTGGAAGCTTCCAGCCTGAATCATGTTTCCTTTTTCTGTAACTCTGATTCCGGAGTCCAATACAGGGCAGCAGAGAAATAAATGATGTTGCCGAGGCTGAAGATGAGGCACAGGAGCAGGGATGCGACGATCTGCAGGAAGGAGAAGGGCTGGGACACGGTCAGCAGCCACTCCCTCCTCAGCGCCTTGTCCAGCAGGATGGCCTCAGTCTGCATGTGCGTGGCCAGGATCACGCACACATGGAACAGCTGGTGGCTGTGACCTGCGGCAAACACACAAGGGCCATGGTGGTCACCACATGGCAGCCTTGGCCAAGGGTGCAACGCTAGGCGATGCTAAGGCCACCTGCTGGAAGTCACTCATGGGAAGTGTGCAGGAGGGGTGAGTGCGATGGAGACAGAGAGGACATTAGCAAGGGTGACCCGGGCAAAGGTGGGGATGGGGACCCACAGCCCTGGGGCACAAGGGTGGTGCTGGGGTGTGAAGGCCTTTTAAAATGGATGGGGGTGGCCACTGTACAATGGGGTAGATAGACTGAAGATATCATTGAGTTGTATACTTGGCAGCAGAAGATCATTTAACCCATAAAACACACCTTAATAAATCTATATTTATTTATTTATTTATTTATTTTTAATAAATCTATATTTAAAAAGCAATATAAGCCTATAAGCTGGGCATGGTGGTGCACACCTGTAATCCCAGCATTTGGGAGGCTGAGGCAGGAGGATCACCTCAGATTCGAGGCCAGCCTGGGCCACATCGTGAGTTCAAGGCCAGCCTGAACTACATAACAAGACTCTGTCTCAGAAAACCAAAAGCACAACAAAACAAAACAAAGAAGAAAAAAAATGGATTCTCTTTTGGTGAGACAAAAAGAAGAACCCTAGGAGGCACCCAGCCAGAGCAGCTCAGCCCCAGGAGGGGGCAGAGTGTGGAAGAAGGGCCGAGACTCCCGGGTAGGTGTCCACGAGGTGCCACCCTGGCCTTGTTCAGGCTGAACTCAGGGGCCTGCCTGCCACCAAGTCTGTGTGTCCCTCTGCTAGGTGGCTTCTCCTCAGAGGGAGAGGGCGTGACTCCAGCTTTCTCTACCCAGCCTCTCTGAGGCAGTGGGTGGGGCTGACCTGTGCTTGCTGAGGAAAGTGGCTTCCTCCACCCTGCCTGGCCAGAGCACGAGGCGGCCAGCCTGAGCCACCAGGCCGGGCCCTCAGGTCCCACAGGGCCCAGCTCCCGTGCAGCAGGGGCTTCCACCTGGGCAGAGCCCGTGACTAAGGATGGGGAACCTCTGGTGACTACCTGCCATAAGGAGTTGTCTGGCTCTGCCCCTTTGGTCCCAGGAGGACAGGACAGAGGGGAGCAAACTGAATATTTGAGAAGCCAGAATGCTGACAAAATAACACCCAGGGTATTTTTCCTACAGCCCCCAACTTGGTCCCAGCCCCCTCTACTTCACCTTAGCGTGGCGGGGAGCAGCCAGACAGGCAGCAGCCTTGGGCCTGGACGGGGGTGGCCAGAGAGGCCTCTGCCTATGCCCCTGCAGGCCCGCCCCCAACCCCAGCCCCTGGCAGCCACAAGTGTCAGGGTGGCCCCGTCCAAGCCAGGAGAGCCACGCACACTCACCCACATAGTCAAAGAGGCCTGGAGCCAGGCGCTCGGGCAGGTGTGCTGAGTAGAAGAAGGAGGCCAGGAGGGTCATGGCCATGTGCTTCCAGTGGTACAAGATGGCTTCATTCTGTGCACTGACCCCCGGGAATAGGAGGAGCTGCAGGTGTTTAAGGAAACAGCGAGCCCTGAGAGGAGGCCAGGCCTCGGGCCTCTCCCTTCTCGGTACCTGCAGGAGGCCCGCACATCTCAGGCCCAGGCCCAGGGAGGACGCTCAGGACTGGGACAGTGGGACTCCTGCTCCATGTGGAAGGGGTGAGACCCAAGCCAGCTGTCTTCAGACCACCACATGCTCCCCAGGGCCTTGGGTTATTCAATTACAAAAGTAAAAGAAAAGAGAGGGAGGGAGGGATAGAGGAGGAGAAGGAAGGAAGGGAGGGAGGGAGAAAAGGAAGGGAAAAGAAAAATCATACTGGATATTTTGCTACTCTTTCTGGGAGTAGCAGTCAGTAGAGTAGATAGTTGTCTATTCACACCTGAATTCACTTTTGTTTTGTTTTTAGTTTGAGACAGGATCTCACTGTTAGTTCAGGCTGGCCTTGAACTCACTATGTAGTCAGGCTGGGCTCCAACTCACAGTGATCCTCCTGCGTCAGCCTCCCTAGTGCTGGGATTACAGGCAGTCACCTCTACACTGGTTCCGTCTGTCCTCTGAGATCCTTATTCATACCTTTCCTTCTATACTAATCGTACATTAACTGATGATAACATAAGGTAATGCATGGATTGGATTCTTGCCACCAGCTGGCGCTATACACGGTATCTCAGAATTCAGAATCGGTCACACACCCCAGAAGTGGCATGATGATAATGTTTCAGATGGGGGAAATGAAGGCACAGAGAATTTGCCCAGGACTGGCAGCAAGTACCAGAGATTCACCTCCACAGCTCACTCCCCGCTCCCTTCACCAAACCCCAGTTGCCAGGCCCTGCCCGACTCCCAGGTCTCTATTTCTGTGGGTCCTGCAGTGCCCAGTGTGGTTGTCTGACCCCCAGCAGCTCAGGCATGCAGGGACCCCCACTGCTGCCATCCTTACCCTGTAGAAGATGGGGAGTGAGTCCCAGATGTAGGGGTACGCAAAGGCCAGGATGCGGAGCAGCTTGGAAAGCCCAGGTTTATGGACTTCGAGGAACCTAAATCAGGGAGGGAAGGGGGAAAAAAAGGAGATGAAAAGAGTCTGGGGAACTCAGGCACACACACAATGATAACCAAGAGCTGCCACCAACTGAGCCCAAGTGCTCGGCAAAACCTCCTGTGTCCAGCAGCTTCTTCACCACCCTGTCATCCCTCCTGCATGGTGGAAGTGACAAAGGCTCAGCTGTGGAATTTGTCCTTTGAGGAGCTTTCCGAAAGTCCAGGGGGCATGGGGACAGGGGTGGGGGCTGGCACAGACCCCCGGGAGCACAGTGTGCCAGACTGAGATGCATCTAACAAGAGGGGTCCCCAGGTGTGCCCAGGGGGAAGACCTGGGTTCCTGGGGGTCCTGGCTCGCCTGCAGGTTTCCAGAAAGTTTATCCCACATGCAGTCGGCAGCCTGGATGCCAGGAGGGGAAAAGGACTCTGAACTGGGGCTCCCTCAAGGAAATACTCAGGCCCGGCTGGGCCACCAAGGCGGGTGGGTGGCAGGGCCAAGGGGCATCTCAGTGCTGCCTGTTCTGCAGGGTGGGGCTCTCCCACAGGGCTGCTGGTGGGGGCCCCAGGCCCAGCATGGTGGCAGGCAGAGGGGTGGCCCAGCTGCCACCTGGAGAAGCTACAGAAGGCTCTGGCCTCCCAGGCTTCACGATAGCTCCCTGCTTGCCATGTACTCTGCCCCCACCCTAGGCTCTCTAGCCCAGCCCACAAGCCCTCCCGCCCTCTCTCCAGCACCATCTGCGGCTCCTATGGCTCCTAAGGGGCCCTGTAACCCTATCACTCCCCTGACCAGATGGCTCTGGTGCTTGGGACCCGGCACAGCCACCTGACAGCACCCCAGCTGCTGCTGGTTCAGGGACCCCATCAGCAGGGGAGAGCCTTCCCCGGGGCAGGGCTGGGGCTGGTGGGTCAGGCTCTGTCACACCCTGCTGGGAAGCTGCCTGAGGCCAGATCCCCCTCCAGCCCTCAGGGCAGCCAGGCACAGGACCCCAGTTCCCAGGAGGGGAGAGGCCACCACGCCCTGAGATGCACCCTGCTCCAGACACGAGCTCCAGCTTCACTCTGGCCTGCCCGCAGCTTCTTCTTTCCTGGCCCTGCCTCACTTAGGAAACGCGGCCCAGGCAGGGTTGGGGAGGAAGGGAAGCTGGGGGGAAGAGCAGGAAAGCGAGGGCCAGTTCCTCACCCCAAACAGGAAGTGCGGCCTAGATGAAACCTCAAACGTCCCAGGAAGGGAGGCCACACGGTCCGGTCCGCAGTGTAGCTGCACCCCGGGGCCTCGAGAGTAACCTGCATTGGCGGGTGACTGTTCCTGCTCAGTGCGCCTGCTCAGGACCTGATGGTCCGAGGTCCCTGGGTGAACTAGCGGCCTGCAAAGCCTGGCTCCCGTTTGGAAAAATTGTACACCTGGGTCTCTGTCCCCTCCCCCCATCGTAGGGCTACGCTGGACCCTAAAGGAGGGGCAGAAGGGACAGACAGCTCTGAGTGCTTTCTTAGAATCCAGTGAGCAAGGATTTAGCCCCAGGCAGTGGCCTCTCCACTTTCTCATGGCTCAACCCTTCTGCACCCCTCACCCACGGGCCAAAGCACCTGCCTCAGTCTACCCTGGCAGGACTGCCTGAGCATGGCTGGTCCCCGAGCCATTTTCCAGAAAGAGCTGCTGGGAACCAGCGCTCCCTGCAGCCACTTACACAGGGGCACAGCTTTCCTGCAACTTGAGGCAACATCGCACCTGGCCTGAAAAAAAATGCTTCCCGGGGGGCAAACGGACCAGCCTCTCCAGCTGCAGAGCCAACTTTACGGGTGAAAAAAGGAAAAAAAGCAGAACAGAAGAGAGACAGCAACACGGGGAAAGGCAGGAGAACGGTCAGTAGCCGCAGCTCCTCCCACTACCAAGATGCAATTCCACATCAGGCCACAGGGTGTCGCCACAGCCAGGGGTTCCAGGAGCGACATCCTGCGCGCCCCACGCGCCCAAAGCGCCGGCACCCTATTTGTGTATAGCTTCTCTCCATTCTAGGATGAGGTGTTGGTTTGCTGGGCTCCAGGCCTGGTCCCCACTGCACGGAGAGGGTGCGCGTTTTCTCATCCTTCCCCTCAAATGCAACAGCACACGGAGTCCTACTACTAGAGCGTGCTCATCTCAACTGGGTTCCATGATACTAAGAACCTGTGAGCGCAGGGGATCCATGCCCTGCTCTCTGCCCTCTTGTCCTGAGGTCAGCAGGCCCAGCGGGCTGATGGAAGGCCTGATGGGAGGCAGAAGGGAGTGAAAACAGGAACAGGCCTGCTAAGAGCAAGAAACAACTGAGAACCTGTGGACAGGAGAAGAGAGAGTCACTCTCCCTTCCTGGGACACCCTCCTGGCAGCCGGGCAGGCAGAAGCCAGAGCCCAGGAAGTCCCTTCCCAGGAACCACAGTCTGAGGGCCTGGCACCTGCACTGCCCAGCCCACCCCAGGCCCTGAGTGGCCTAGGGCTCCTCACTGCTTCCCTCACCTGAGCCCAAAGGCCCTTCCTCCCCTGAGGCTGCAATGTCTGACCTCCTTCCACACTCGCCGAGGTGACTTCTAGGACCCTGCATCGCCAGGCAGGTGGCCCTCTGCCTGCTGCACTCTAAAGGAAGGCACTGGGCCTCCTGAGATTTCTGGGGGGTCTGTGAACGGCGAAGGCAGGACTTGCTTCTCCCTGCACCCCCAGCTCTTCACAGGCCCTGGAGCCTGGCCACACGGGGATGGGGAGGCTGAGCAGACAGGGCTGGGGAGGTGACTGCTCGCTGTCCGGGGAGAAGCCCCAGACTAGGTGCTCAGGAGACTCCAGGCCCAGCTGCCAGCCTCACAGGTTCATCCAAATCCAAAGGACCTCATCTGGCCAAAGCCACCCATGCCTAGGTGTGGGGACCACCCAGGGGCTTCCGTAGCTCCAGCCCCAACCTGACCCCGGCAGGCACAGCAGGGCAAGTCCAGTGCCTTCCTGACGCCACTGTTAAACTATCTTCCATGCTTTTAAGTTTGTCAGTTTGTCAGGTCTGTGAAAGTTGTCTGCTCTCCCTGAGGGCGGGTCCCAAAAAACCTCTAACTGCCACCTAAAGGGAGCTGGAGCCAAGAGCATCCTGGAGAGAGAGCACAGAGCACATGAGCCCACCCTGTGTCTCCCAGGGAGGGGACAGTGGAAGGCTGCAGGAGTCCCCAGCAGCAAGCAAACTGGCTCTGGGCAATCTCAGCTGGGAGGTGAAGAACATAGGTGCCTTTGCCCACCTGCCACACCCAGCTCCTCTCCTACCTGGACAGGGCTGCCCCACACCCTCAGATGCACACAGCAGCTCACAAGGCTTCCTGAGTCCTTCCCGGAAGCTGAGGATTCAGATGGTTTATTTCTGCAAAGAGCTCCTGAAAGGATCCCAGCTGTCTCCAAGACAAGGCACCTTGTTATAAGCCTCATGTGCTCATAGCTGGGGCTTTGGGCGGGTGATGGATTATGGGGGCTTAGAGCTGACTTGCTATTGGAAGACGGGGTCTGGTCGGAAGAGGCAATCCCTGGGGGCACGGCCTGAAAGGTTTTGTCTCCCTACGGGCTCCTCCCTTCCTCTCTGCTTCCTGTCAACCATGCTGTGAGCAGCTCTCCTCTCCGCCAGACCCTCTGCCATGCTGCCTGCCTTGGAGCCCGCCAACTATGAACTGAATCATGAGCCAGAAGAAGCCTCTTCTCCTTTAAATTGTGGGTGCCGAGTATTGCATCTCAGCAAAGAGAAGAGCAGCTAAGACACACGATGAGTGGGTGAGTCAAAGGGAAGAAACAGTGGGAACCAGAGCTGGGCTCAACCTCTGGCTGAGGGGATGGGCTGGACACGTACAGGTCGCCAGGTTCCACCACATACACCAAGGCAAGCCCACCAGTTACTAGTGGCACACAGTCCATTTCCGAGGTGCCTACTCTGTCCAGGCTTGTGTGGGTCCTAGGCCTGTGACCTAGAGGCAGAGGTCCTGTCCCCACTACAGATGAGCGAAATGAGATTCGAAGACCGCCCAGCCATAGGGCAGGCATGTAGGGGACGGAAGACAAAATCACAGTGCAGGCCCCCCCAACCCATTCAGAAACCAGGGGGTCAGAGTGTGAAACCGGAAAGGGCCTGGCGCTGCCACGCAGGTGCCGCCTCCGCCCACCTTGGGGTCCCTGGAGCAGAGGCTGTGCCCTGACATCCCTTCCCAGGCCCTGCCCCCTGCCCCGCTGGTACCTGGAGTAGCAGGAGAGGCCGGTGCTGAGGCTGGTGTTGAACACGGCCAGGGCCATGTAGTAGTCCCGGAAGGCTGTGAGCACCAGTGCGTCTGGGAAGGTGTATGCGGAGTAGGCAATGGCGGAGCCTGGAGGAAGAACCAGCTGTGGGAAGGAAGCCGGAACTGGGCCCACAGGGACCCCGAGCACCTCCCCTCACTCCTCTGCTCCCAAACCCAAGGACTGGGATGAGCTGCTTTGCATATTGTAACTCGCTTAGTCCTTACAGCCCCGAGAGGGTTAGCATCTCACCAAGGGCCACACAGCCAGCATGGAGCCAAGTAGAGCTTACCTGAGTGTCCCAGCTCCCCTGCCCCTTTGGGGGACAGTGACTCGAGAGGGTGGGAAAGGAAAAGAGGTCAGGTGTGGGGTTCTGATCTAGGTCTGGGGTCTTCCGGAGCCCTGCTGGTTGGAGCCTCTTGGGAAGAACGGAGGCCACTGTCCTCTGTGAGGGTCAGCCAAGGTCACAGTCAGTCCCAGACATCGAGAACCCAGAGCTGGCCATGGCCACATGGGCTCAGCCTCTGCTCCCCATGGCTCTAGCGAGGCTGTCACTCTGACAGAGGGGCTGAGGGCCACGCTCCTGGGCCTCCCAGGCACTGCTCTGGGCTGAGCCCGGGCCACACTGCCTCTGTCCAGTGGACACTGACAGGCAAATGGGGTGCCAAACGCTGGGGTGGGTCAAAGTGGGTCACCCACTGGGGCCACACAAGAGCCAGGGGCCTTCGAGCAGCCTAGCAGCACTAGACCAGCCTAAACTACATAGCAAGACTCTGCCTAAAAAAAAGAGCAGAAAAGAAGTGGCCCATAGTAGAGCCCGCTGGGTCCTGACAGTCAGGAAGCTGGGGCCAGTTTAAGTGGGCAAGAATGTAGGGGAGAGCATTTGCCCACGGAAACACAAACCCTTATGAAAGGAGGAGGAGGAAGAAAGAAGACAGATGCAGGCTCCTTCTGGACAAAAACCATATTATTTTTCCAGTACCGGGGATTAAAGCCAGGGGTGCTCTGCCACTGAGCTACATCCCAAGCCCTTTTTAGTTTTTATTTCCAGACACCGTATCCCTAAGTTTCCCAGGCTGGCCCTGAGCTTGTGACTCTCCTGCCTCAGCCTCCTGAGTAGCTCGGATTACGAGTGCACCACTGCACCTGGCCTGGACAAGCACTTGTGAGAGGGTTCCACACTGAGAGCCCGAACAGGCAGAGGACGAGGCTAGAGCCAGGTTCTGGGCTGGATGGATGCCCACAAGCAGAGAGGAGGAGAGGAAGAAGGGGGAGGGGCATGCTGGGAAAAGAGAAAGACAGGGCTTTGGGGACATCCACACCCAACTTCCACTCAATTCCTGTGGTACTCTGAGCAGACGAGCCTGGTGACCGTGCCCTCCTCTGTGCCCAGCATGACAGACCAGCCCTGCTGTGCTGTCTCTGCCCAGCCTAGCTGGCCTGAGCTGACCAGGAGAGTCAGAGCTGCCGAGAGCTGAACTGTCAAACCCGGGCGTCGTTAAAAATTAAAGTACATAAACTTACAATTAAGTAACTCACATTAACCAAAGTCCCCAGCACTTGGCAGGTATACTTCCTGTTTCTGTATGGTGGAATTGCTATGCAATGGTTTGTCCATCTCCCCGCCTACTCTGCACCCAGTCATGGCTCATAGGGAGCTGGAAGTGGGCTGTGGGGGAGCATTTGCACCCAGAAATTGGCCAACACTGCAGATTAGGGCTGGTGTCCCCGGCGCCTGGGCAGGACCCTGGCCTTCCTGACTCCCCGAAAGCACACCAATGCCCTGTGGGAGGCCAGCTTAGCAGGCGTGGATGCCAAACGGGCTGCGTACCCAGGCTGAAGAGGTTGACTGCACCATAGTCCAGGAAGTAGCAGATGTGCCGGGCCTTCTTAGACATGGAGCTGAAGGTGTGCGCGCAGCTGGACGCCAGGGGATACACGCAGCTGGTGCACATGTACACGAGCATGGGCCATGAGTAGCTGTCATTCTGGATGTCCGTCGTGCACAGCGCAGTCACAAACCTCCATGCAAAGAACCTGGGACACAGCATGGACCACGCGGTCCTCTTAGATGCCGTATCCAACTGTCTGCAAGTCCTTAATTTGGGGAAATACCACGTGCCCGGGAGGGTGGAATCCCTCTTATAGCATCTTGCCTGAGTGATTCTCCAGTTTCCCTTGCATGCCTCCAAGGATGGAGGACTCACCACCTCCCAGGGCAATTCTGAGAGTTAGAAAGATCAGGGTCAATACACAGCTCTGTCACATCTGCCTGTCACCCACACGTGGGGTTCCCCCTGCCCAGCACCTCACTACCACAAACTACTGCTGGGGGAGCAGCTCCCTCCCTAGGAAGGAGATTAAGCCAGAAAAGGAGTGTCACTAAACCCTCTGGCTATACTTGCAGGCTTTCTCCTCCTGCCCCAGCACAAACAGACCTTCAGCAAACATGTTTGTTTGTTTCGTAAATTTAATCTCAGGGTTGTCCCACAGGCCTCTTTCTTTAAGGTGTCTTGCGGCACATTTGCCCACCCCCTTCCAACACTCTGTGCCGCTCAGTCCAGAGGTGTCTGAAAGCCCAGCCCTGTGTAGGGGAGCTGTGTGCAGTGTTGGGGGGCCTGCTTGGCTGCACTGTCAAATAGCTGAACAGTCACCCGCCTGGAATCTGTGCATGGTACCAGGGACCTCACACTGTGGAGTGGCACAAATCTCAAACCAGTCTGAGCCAACCTTGGTCCATCCACAAATCAGAGTACCTTGGACTCCCGGAAGAGCTCAGGACGACACAAGGAGCAGGCAGCCCCATGACCCAGGGAGGAGCTAGGTGCCAGCTCCGTTCCCTTCTGCAATGTTATAGTTTAGTACCATGGAGCCTTTTTACATAAGTAAAAGTTAACATGACCCGTGGCCTCCTTAGCAGGACCTTGCTGTTCCCTTGCTGAGGCTGCAGACCCCTGGGCTGTCAGGCTTTGCTTCAGATCACCTTACTCCCCCTCCAGCTCTCCAGGAGGGAGCTTTCTTGCCCTTCCATGGGGTGGCTGGTGGACCTAGCCTTCTCTTCATCTGGCCCTGGCTATGTCTTCCGACTTCTGGTTAGACTCGCCAGCCACTCCATGGACTCTGGATCCCTTCAAGTCTGTGTCTCAAATGACCTTCATGACCCAAATGACCTTCATCCCCGCCCATCTCTGATACTCAACCACCTCACCCTATCTATGGGTTCTGCGTCTTCGGATTCAACCAACCACAAATCAAGGGCTAAAACTGCATCTGTACTGAGCATGTGTACTTTTCCTGCCTCTATTCCCTAAGCACAACGTAACAGCTATTAACGGTGCATTATATTGTTTCGGGAAGTGTCAGCAACCTGGAGATGGTTTGAAGTATACAGGAAGGTGTGCATTTTGCATAAAGGCATATGCACAGATTTGGTATGGGGTCCGGGAACAGTCCCCATGGCACCAGGGTGTCCTTATTATGACGCGCGACTGTGGCCCCATCCCAGCTCTGCATTCCTCAGGCTAGGTGGGTGGTATGACCACGGGCCCCCAATGCCGAGGTTCCAGGAACAATCCGGAGCACCCAAAGCCTGGTGCCTGATGCCTTTCCTAACTCTTCTTCCGTCCTCACAGCCACCCTGGGAAAAGCACACACGCACGCCATGCCTACTCCACAGTGGCAAAGTACAAAGCTCAGAAGGAGTAAATGACTTGCTCAAGCTGGTGATGTTTTAACCCTAGGGACCCACAGAGCCTCTGAGACTGAAGGAGATGAAGGTCAATGCTCAGAGGAGTCCCTGGAATCCCACCAGGACCCGTGCTCATTCTGTGGCAGACCCACCTTCTCCCCCTCTGCACACATTCACCGGCACCCACAGGGGGACCCCAAGCCCCAGCACAGGCTCTGGGCCCTCTCAAGCCCGGCTGTGTTCTAAAGAAGCCTCGGTCCCTGGGATCCTGAATGGTCAAGGGGGCTGAAAGGTACCAGAAGGGCAGCAAGTGGGTCCAGATGTTGAGGGTCTCATTGGTCATTTGGAAAAGGCTGAGCACACAGGCAGTGGCGGAGCTCTGTGGGTGCCGGTAGCCGAAGAGGATGCCCTGCTCATGGAACACCTGCGGAGAGAAGGGGGAGTCTCAGGCCAGCACCTTGGCCCACTCAGTCCCCCCGCCCCCCCAGCCTGGGACTGAGACGGATTCCCATCAAGGGGCCTGCTCTCTCCTCCTCCATGCCCAGGCTGAGCTCCTGAAATCTTTGTCCTCCAAGAATTCCAGATGTGCTCACTCTTGGCATGAATGTTACCCTAGAATCCAATTTTTCCCTCTCTGCCTGGGACCCACAGCCCCGTCTTCAGATGCCTCCGTGGTTGGCTAACATGTGTGCTGCTGTCTGAGCCTGCAGAACCCGGCTCAGGGCTGGCAGGAAGAGCTCTGCAGCAGACGCCCCACTGCCAGGGTATTTCCCAGGGCGCTTCACAAAGGCCTTTTGATGATGGAGCCTGTGATGCTAGTGCCTGCACTGTGGCCTGGCCGCCCCAGGGCCACCCATGCCCAGACGGTCAGCAAAACTATGGGAGCAAGTTCCCCAAAACTATGGGGTATCAACCAGTGAGTACTGTGTTACATCCATTAAAAATGGTAACTGAGCTAAGAACAGTGGTCCATGCCTATAATCCCAGCACTCTGGGAGGCTGAGGCAGGAGAATTGCAAGTTTGAGTCGAGCCTGGGCAACTTAGTGAGACTCTGTCTGAAAATAAAAAGGGGGGAGGTAACATAGCTCAGTTCGAAGGCCCTGGGTGCAATCCTTCAGTGCCGCAAAAAAGCAAAAAATAGTAACCAAGAGGATAATGAGGCAAGAGCTCAGGACACAGTAACGAACAAAAGTGGAATGTCAATTACGTTCCCACCATGAGTCTCTGAGAACTGTGGAAATGCTCACGAACACAGAAAATCGAGGGTAATTTGGTGTAGTCATAGGGTTACAGGAGCCTTTTCCCCCTCTGTGTTGCCTTAGACCGAGGCAAAGGCTTTGCCCTTTATTTGGTGGGAGGAGATACTGGAGATTGAACCCAGGGCCTGACTCATCCAGCCAAATGCCCTGCCCCTGACCTACATCCACACCCCACTTTCCTCTTCAATTTTATGAGACAGCCTTTCATTAAATTGGGAGGCAGAACTCAAACTTGTGATCCTCCTCCCTCAGCCTCCCCCAGTTGCTAGGGTTACAGTTGTGCGACACCATGCCTGGCTTCAAGATTTTTCAGTTTGGACACTGCCAATATTTTGGGTCATGTAGGTCTTTATTGAGGGGACCCAGCCTACGCATCGTTTAGGAGTGTGTGCTCCTTCTACCCACCAAATGCCAGGAGCCCACAGTGTGCTTGAACACAGCCCATGCAAAAATGACCCCAGACGTTGCCCAAGTCCCCTGGGGGCCACATCTCCAGTTAAAAACCAGCGATTTAGATGAATGATGCTGTAGTCATCAAAAGGTAAATTATATGCGAGTGGGTTGATTGAAGATGTGGTGACAGTCACCGGGGTATCTGTCAGCTTACAAAGCACTGTATCACTTTCCTTTTGTTTGGAAAGACTCTAGCCTCACCCTGTTTCTCACTTGCATCACTAACTTCTCTGTTAGGAGGGCAAAGGCTCATTTAAAAATATGCAATAAGGCCACATGTGGTGGCACACGCCTACAATCCCAGCACTCAGGAGGCTGAGACAGGAGCACCACCTTGAATTTGAGGCCAGCCTGGACAACAAAGTAAGACTCTGCCTCAAAACAAACAAACAACAAACAAACAAGTGCAACATGACAGGCTGGGGATGTGGCTCAGATCTGCATAGAAAGAATGTGTGGTGTGGTGTGTAGTGTTGTGTACATTAAAACAGAAAAGGAAACATCTGCAAACAGCTCCACCTTCCAGAGCACTCTGACCCCAAGGCAAAGCACCCTTTCCTCCACAGCCCGGCCTCATCTCCAGGCACCAAGTCCGCAGGCACCGCTCCTTTGCACAGTGGAATTGATTTGCAGACTCCGCTTTGCATCCCCGGTCACAGGCTGGGCAATTTAGAGCGAAATGAAATTGAGTCAGATCTTGGCAGCCTCTTATTTAGGAGCGAGCAGCCCCAGGCCGGCAGGGTGGACAGCACAGCTGCAAGTTTTTCCTCTTGCAGCCGCCAGGAGCGAAACCTCTGCACATCTGCCAGATGATGTCTGAAATGCCACCGGGAAGGTGTAAACCTTGCAATGATTCCAGTCATTAGGCTGGAGATCACCTCGGGGAAAATAACAGCATTTCCAGCTGGTGGTAAAGAACAGTGGGAGAAGAGGGGGCAAGGTGGGGAGGGAGGTGGGCAGGCACTGTTAGGGTGGACTTGGCATTTCCCATCCATGTCTCACAGCATCCACAACCACCTGGTAAAGAGAACTCACTATGCAACCCAGGCTGGCCTTGAACTTGCAGGGATCCTCCTGCCTCAGCCTCCTGAGTATGGGATGACAGGCACAGGCCATCACACTGGGTTTAAGAGGAAATCTGGACTCACAGAGAGATACTCGGAATGAGCTTGCACAGAGGGAGGAATATGAGAAGATGCAGAGACACAGTGGCCATTTGTGACCTCAAACCCTTGTCTTAATCACCTTCCCTTTGCTGCAGCAAAATGCCTGCCACCTGCAACTTAGAGAGGTTTTCTTCACTCACATACAGTCCAGGCCATCAGCTGGCTCCAAAGCAGCAACAGGATGGCACAGGGGCCTGGCAGAGGAAAAGGTGCTTAATGCATGGCAGCCAGGAAGCAGAGAGAAGGGAGGAGGAAGACAGGAATCCAACCTCCCAGGCCACGCCCTCGGGGACTGCCTCCAGCCAGCCCCTGCCCCTACCGCACAGCCAAGAACTCATCCGTCAATGGGGTGAATCCACTGATGAGCACAGCACCCCATGAGCGAGTTACCTTCCACACACAGGAGAATCTGGGAGACACTTTAGATCTAAACCATGACAGACCTCGATCTTGGATTTCCAGCCATGGAGAACTGGGAAAAGATAACCTTCTGGGGTCTCAGCCCCTTGGACTGTGGGTTGTTTTGTTTTAATGGCAGCCCCAGAAAATGAATATAGGTGCTGAGGTTTGGTGACACTCTCCGGAAGCCAACCTTCCTCTGCCAGTATCCACCTGTCACCCGAGGTCACACTGTGCTTGGTGGCAGGTGCGAGATGCTGCATTCCTCACCAGCTCCCAAGCCTGCTCCTGCCTTGCAATGCACCGTCACCTTCCCTCCCAGAATGCAGTTCATTCCCTCCCAGAATGCAGTTCATCTCAGAAGAGGAGAAAGGAGAGTGACAAGGCAACCACAAAGACACAGGGATGGGGCCGGGGATTTAGCTCAGTGGCACCGCGCCTGCCTTAAAAGTGCAAGGTCCTGAGTTCAATCCCCAGTACCAAAAAAAAAAAGTTACAGGCATGGAAAGCTAGTACAGGGAAACGTTGGAGACCTGGGGAGGTTCTGTTAGGGGACTGCACACAGAGCACAGTCGGAGAGAGGCCACCAGGCTGGCTTTGAAGCTGGAGAAATTGAGTGAGCGGCCAGCAACAGGGGAAGCTTCTAGAAGCTGGAAGAGGCAGGGAACAGGTTTTGCCCTGCAGTCTCCATGGACACCATTGATTTCAGCCAAGCCTGACCCAGGTCAGAGCAGTAATCTACAGAACTGTAGGATAATTAATTGTTTTGTTTTATTTTGTTTTTGCAGTGCTGAGGATCAAATCCAGAGCCTTGCACATGCTAGACAAGAGCTCTGCCACTGAGCCACATCCACATCCCCAGCCCAAATGTGTGTGCGCGTGCATGTGTGTGTGTGTGTGTGTGTATGTTGTAGTTGTGGTTGTTACTGTGGATCAAACTCAGGGCCTTGTGCATGAGAGGCAAGTGCTCTACCACTGAGCTACCCCCTCAGCTCTGTTATCTTTCTTTTTTTAAGTCACCAAATTTGTAGTAATTTGTCACGGCAGTGTCTTAGTCACTTTCCCATCACTGGGACACAATAAGAAACACTCAGGACTTGAAGGAGCACAGGTTTATTGTGGCTCACAGTTGTTGGGGTTGCAGTCCATGGCTGGGTGGCTCCAAGGCAGGGGAGCATGGTGAAGGAGAGCTACTCATGTCATGGTGCACAGGAAGTAGAGAGAGAAGGGAGGAGCCAGGAGAGAGATAAACTCCTCCAAGCCACGCCCCCGGGGACCACCTCTTCCAACCAAACCCCACCTCCTAACAATGAGTCATCTCTGGGTGCCCATAATCACCTTCCAAAAGCCCTGCCTGCGAATGCATGAGGGTCTTAGGGGACATCTAGATACAAACCATAACAAGCAGCAGCAGAAAACTAATACAAAGTAAGAATTTGACCAAAAATGCAAACATACTCTTGGCACTGCGTGTGGACAGCACATGGCATGAATTGCTTCCAAGAGAGGCAACAGCTTTCTCTGGAACAATGTGAAGATCATGTGTCCCTCCCCAGCGGGAGACATCTTGCTAAAACATGTATCAAACCTCACCTTAAAGTACTCTCATTCACACAGTGAGAATATGGAACTCATGCTGGTAAACATTTAGATTTAATTTAGACAAAATACAAGGTGGCTGGAAGAAATCAAGATCCTCACATACCACGGTGAATTCCATCTTTATTGGGAAATGACATTAATTTTGAATTTGAGCTGTCTGCTGATATTTGTTATGGGATAATGTTAGCAAAAGCTGACCAAAAAAAAAATCTCAGTTTGGCTATTTTACTTCTTTTTTTTTTCGTACCAGGGATCGAACTCAGGACCTTGCGCTTGTGAGGCAGGTCCGGTGCCACTGAGCTAAATCCCTGGCCTGCTATTTCACTTTTAAAGGGATTAAAAATACACATTTATTTTAAAAAAAATATGTACTGGATTTTTCTAAACCAAAGGAGCTGCACATGAAGTACACACAAAAACGGTGACATTCTGAAAAAATAAAATTCAAAAAAGAAACCAAAAATGTCTGTGAATTAAGAAAGAAAAGACTCATATATAAAAATCATCCTAAAATCAGTTTCTATAGAGATTCTTTTCTGGACTTTGTAGATTGTGGTGTAATTTTGACTAAGAAAATCCTGCTATTTTCAGCTTTCCTGATAGTATCTTTTTTCTTAATAAAATCATAATATTGTATTAACTAGATATTGCTTCTAGAGAAGAAAAATAGCAATATGAGAAAGTGGCCTACATAAAATTAAAATAATAATTTTTGGTTTATATAATTATATGTACATTTATTGCAATGATTTATTTCTGGTTCTCAATGTGGATTTGAGGATATCATTTGGTAATTCCAATTGTTCTACCTCAGCAAAACTGAGCAGAAACTCAGCAGAAATATCTCCCAATTGAATTAATTTCTTAATTTCTTTTCTTTTTTCTGTCTTTCTTTCTTTTTTTTTTTTTCTTTTTTAACTTTTTAACTGCTATGTAGTTCAGGCTGATCTTGAACTCACTATGTAGCCCAGGCTGGTCTTGAACTTGCAGCAATCCTCCTGCCTCAGGCTCCTGAGTGCTAGGATTTTAAGCATGTGCTACCATGCTCCACTAATTTCTTATCTAAGAATTGTAATAACTCAAGAATGACAATCTCAATATCTTTGTCAACAGAACACAAATTATATAACATCAATTATAATACCATAATTCATAATTTTGCTGAAATGAAAGAAAAAGAAATTTTATAGAATAAATGTAATAATTTATGAATTATGCATGAATTATGCATGTTTTTGCTTCATTACTTTTTCAAACAACACTAACGCATGAACATAACACCCAGATATGTGTGCTAATAATTAGATGCAGGTGTCCCAGATGTTCTGCTGACTTCAGATCTGTAAATAAGGATCCACATCAGGCAGCACACACCTGTGACCCCAGCACTCAGGAGGCTGAGGCAGGAAGATCGAAAGTTTGAGCCCAGCCTGGGCAATTTACCGACTTAGCAAGACTCTATCTCAAAAACTAAACAGGGCTAGGAATGCAGCTCAGTACAAAGGCCCTGGGTTCAATCCCCAGTACTCAAAAAAGAAAGCAAAGAATGGAATGAATGAAGGAAGGAAGGAACAAAGGAAGATCATCCCTTCAAGAAGCTTTCCTGACCCCTTCCTGCTGTATGACATAAGTGGCCAATCACCTATGTGAAACTGTCTGTCCCTAACCTTCACAAAGTGCTCCTTAATCCTCCTGATTCATAGGAGGAAGGACAGGATTTCTATGCAGCTATCGCCTGAATACTGTGGAGAAGCATTGTGCCCACCAGAACCAGTCAATGAAAACACCATGAATAAATAGATCAAGAAGTCACCCCAAGGTCCTGCTGGTCACCACCACCAATGCTCAGCAGGCAGAGTCATGCCAGGGGCAAGCAGAGGCCACACTTGGGAATGGCCTCCCACTTTGTGGGTTGTGCTTGTTTCCCCCAGCAGCCACTGCCACCTTCCTGGGGTCACCTGGCATCTCAGATTTTCAGGATTCAGCCTGGCAGGTGTCTTTTTGAATCTCCCATGTGTGGTGCTGAGTTTGGTTAGGAATTATTGGCGGGGGGTGGGGGGAGTGCTTGGAAGTCAGTCAGGTAGAAAAGGGCTCTCAGCCTCCCTGATAGTCCCCAAGTGAAACTTCCTGCCATGAATAATACTCTTTTGTCTCCAGTCCCCAAAGAAAGGAATCTGCCACTGAGACATGTGTCACTGAGGTGCAGCAACACATTTGCTTCTCCAGGGAGAAGGAGGTCACCCAATTGTCCCTGGACACTGGCAGAGTGACATCTCCAGTGTCAGCCAGGTGCAGATGTGTCAGGAGACTTCCCAGACCCAGGAGTCCATGGAAAGGGGGCACCAAGGTCTCCTCACCAGCCCCTGCCATCACCCTTACACAAGCCTGGCCTGGGCCTCCAGCAAGGGACCAGGATGATAGCAAAGCCACAGAGGTGACTGCAGCCCCATCTTGCTTTCAAGAGCCCACACAGGGTCCTAAAAATCCACCTCCAACTGCTTCAGCTTCCTCTCACCAGCCTGACCTGAATCTGCAACCTGGACAACTCTGCTTCTGGAAGAAGCACAGGTATCGCAGAAGGGCTATATCTTCCACTGCAGGGATCACTTCTGTTTCTGGTTTGGTGAATGCAAGGGAGATGCTTGTTTCCTCACTAGGGTGTGAGAAGGCACCCTTGAGGGAAGGGGCCTGCCGAGAGCAGGGGAGAGCTGTGTCCCCCCTGCAGATCCAGCCCCTGGCCGCACCCAGGGCTTACTTGACACAAACTCAGCACGTACCTGGGGCACCTGGTCTATGTTGAACAGCTTGGGGACCTTCAGGCTCAGCATGTTGATGCTGGGTTATCAAGGCCAGTGGGGGACAGCCCCTGCCTGTCGACAGGCTTTCCTCAAAGCACTGCCATGCCTGGGGTGCTGGGCTGCATCCCTGCAAGAAGACCACATGGAGAAATCACGTCAGTCACCACCTAACTCCAGCCAAGTCAGGGAAATCTGGCTATTCCACTATGGGATTTGCACTTGCTAATAATGTCAACACATCCAACTTCTTTAAATCCCACAACAAACCAGGTGTGGTGGTGCACACCTGTAATCCTACCACTCTGGGAGGCTGAGACAGGAGGATCGCTGCAAGTTTGAGGCCAGCCTGGGCTGCATAGAGAGTTCAAGGCCAGCCTGAATTACATAGTGAGACCTTGTCTCAAGAAACCAATAAAATAAATAAATAAAATAAATTTTAAAAATAAAGGGCTGGGGCAATAGTTCAGTGCAAAGGCCCAGGTTCAACCCCTATTGCTGATGATCAATCAATCAATCAAATAATGAATAAAAAGTTAATACTTTCCAAGTAAACTACAGCACTGTGTGAATGGGCCATAGTACAGTACACCCTTGGTTTCCCCAGTTGAAGTCACCAAGCCTTTCCCCTCAGAAGTGCTACCCACTCACCCAGTGGCAGGACAAGAGAGAAAGATGCAGGACTGGGGGAAACTCAAGCACCCCTGCAAACCCCCCAAATAGTTCTGGGAACCAAGGTTGGGCCTCACAGTTCCACCTGCCAAGGTCCCTTGGTTCCCCTTGGACTTGAGTCAGTTTCACCGTCAAGGAAAAGACATAGTCTTTATGTCACAGCATATGTCATCTGGGGAGGAGGACCAGACTCATAACAAAGTAGCAGAGCACAAAACTGAGTGATACACAAAGAGTAGGGTATAAACCCAGTAGTGATACAAAGTAGCAAGATATCAACCTTGGGACTGATACAGAGTAGCAAGGTATGAACCCCAGGAATGATACAGAGTAGCAGGGTATAAACCCTAGAAATGATACAAAGTAGCAGAGGAACTAATCATCACTTCTTTCTGTCACTGAAGTTTCCTGCATTCAGTCGGCCAAAAGCCAGGGAAAGGGCCACATGTGGAATTCTCTGTTACCCTGAAAGCTGCAGAAGCTTTAAGGAAAAGCTAAAGTTCCGCTGCTGGAAACATTGTATCTGTGTGTGATACACAGCACACCAGAAAGTAGGAATCCTCCCGCCTCCCTCTATGCTAGTCCCCTTTGCATGGGAAAGAGAACCTAGTAAGACAGTCCTTGTCTCCAAGAAATATATGCAAAAGGGACCGATACACACAGGTTCTCCAAAGAGAAAGAACTTCAACAGGACAGGGATTCCCAACCCCCCAGGCCACTGTCCCCTTAGATTCTGGGGCACACAACAGGAGGTGAGCTGCTGGATGGGGAGCGAAGCTTTGTCTGTGTTTCCAGCCGCCCCCATGTCTCTGTCACCACCCCAGCTCTGCCTCCTGTGGGATCAGTGAGGCAGTAGACGCCTAGGAGCTTAGCGCCCTGCTGTGAACTGCTTATGTGCGAGGATCCAAGTTCCCCGCTCCTTAGGAGAATCTAACACAATAATAATAGAAACGAAGTGTAGAATATAATAATAGTAGAAATAAAGTGCACGATGTAATAATAGAAATAAAGTGCCCCAAAACGTGATGCACTTGAATCGTCCCCAAACCAGCTCCCATGATCCCCACCCTGGCTGTGGAAATTTTCTTCCATGAAATGGATCCCTGGTACCAAAATGGTCAGGGACAGCTGCCCTAGGATCTCTAGGATCCCTAGGATCTCAGAGGGATTGAGTGGGAATCCGGAAGCTGAGAAATCCCACGACAAGTGGCCCACAGGCTAGAGTCCTGGCATGGTGTCTTGTGGCTCAGTCCATGTGCAGGGGCCTTGGAAAGGACCCAGGCAGCCACTGGTCCAACTCTCAGTCCCAGGCTCAAGGCTTTGAGAACCCAGGGGACCACAAATGTGAGTCTGGTAGCTCATAGCCAGAGAACCGGGAGTTCAGGTATGCACGGCAGAAGGAGGGCATCTTGCTCTGGAAGAGAAAGAATTTGCTGTTCCCTGCCTGCTTGCTCTATGCAGGTCCCCAAGTACTGGGGGACAGATCTTTTCCACAGCCCATGACTCCCACGCCCATAGGCCCACCTAGAAGTGATGCCATCTCAGCTCTCTGGTATCCTTGATTGGGGCACGCTGACACCTCTGAGTGCCACCATGACACCCAACTAAGCAACCCATGTCACCCCAAGGAGGGGACTTGCATCCACTCACACCATGCCAGCACTGGCCCCATCACCAGCTGCCAGGGTCCCACACTTGCTCTGCCATTTCCTGTGCAGCCCTGGGAAAGTCACGCAGTACCTTGGGCCTCGGTTTCTCCACCTGTGAGTCAGAAGCAACAGCAGCGTTTCCTCAAGGGCTGTCACGAGGGGTAGGAGAGGTGCCCTGTGTCAAGAGCCTACCATAAAGAAAGGTCCAACCAACACTAGCTAATGTTAGCTAATGTTATTCATTTCCAAATGGAAGATTAAGTTCACATTCCACACATGGGAAAGCAGAAGCTTGCAGCATCCAGGGGTTGCCAGATCCCGCAGCTAAGGACATGGCAGAGTTGGAGTTTGATTTCCAGAAGAAGTATGCTGACATCCCGGTCACCTGCACTGGCTGTGGAGAGCCACGGGATTTTCATCCCTAGTCACACAGACCATGTCGCCCCTAAAGAGTCTGCGGGGACAGAGGAGCAACAAGAAATCCCCCTGACTTTCCCTGCTGATGCTAACAAGCACCTTGGGTGGCCTGAGGTTCGAGAACGTCATGCCCTGTGTGACAGGAGCAAGACATGCAGGGCTTGGGCACCCCCAAGCAGAGGCCAGGCCTCCCTTCTTCCCCTCCCAGGTGTGACCTAGGCTACACTGAGGAAGCCACCTGACTTTCATCTTTGTCGTCAGGGAAACCAGATGTCCACGCCTACCTGGCCAGGCCAGCAGGAAACTAAGGAGATGCCAGATGTGAGGATGAGGGTTTGTATCCTAGGGTCCATGGGAACCCACAGATGGGCTTCAGGCGGTTTTTCAAATTACAGGTAAATCTGTGTGTGTGTGTGTGTGCGCGCACATGCATGCGCATGCACACGGGCTGTGCACACATGTGTGTCACTGGGGATGGAGCTATGGTTTCCAGTGAATCTTCAGTGATGTCTGAAGCCAAGGAAGGTTTGGGGCCCCAGCCCCCTGCGGCACACAGTGAACACAGCTAAAGCCACACCCAGGTCCTGAGATACCCTGGGGAATCCCAACCGGGCTAGGAGTGGCTGGGCCAGCTCTCGGGCAGTCATTGTGCCTGCTGATTAATGAGGGCCCTGTCCCCCACAGAAACCTGTCCCGCCCTGCCAATTGGCTGGGTGGGGCGCTGTCTCTGCGTGCACCCCACTCCGGAGAGCTGGTTCTGCAGGCTGCTCAGTTCCTGCTGTCCAATCTGGGGTGTCACACCCAGAGGCCACCAGCTTGGTGCTCACCTGCACCCCGGCTCTTGCCAGGCACTGCTGGCATAGTGTCACTGTGGGAATCCGAGGGAGCCCAGGATCACTCAAGCATCTTCTGAGCTAGGACTGAAGCTTAGCCAGCCATCACTGCCCCAGTTCTCCTTCCCTGGGGCTGTCGGTTCCTCTGCCAGCACCATGGGACTGTGTCCCAAGAGCTGCCTGCCACTGCGGGCTGTGTCCAACCTACATGCTGTGTCTTTTCCAATACACCTACACCTGTGACAAAGTTTCAGGATTTGGGGGCTGCCCCCGAGCTGTGCCCAGCCACAGTGGGGAACCCCGAGGAGCTGCAGGCCAGAGGTTGTGGGGGTCACCACAGGCTAAGCATCAATCCCGGTGAGCTTGGAAGATGCCAGTAGAGTGAGGATAATAAAATCATCAATGGCTTTGTCTTTGTTTTGCATGTAAAATGTGTTTTCTTGTTGTTTAACAGGGCTCAGGGTTTGGTTTTAAACCAGGCTGCACACATTCACCAGTGTGACATCTCTCTGACCATGACAAAATGGCTTCAGCTGCCAATACTTCATTACATCCAAAAGAAAAAAACTGTTCTAATTTTTAGGGGAAAAAAAACCCAATTCCAAGAATAATTAACATTTGTCTGTAATTTAAAACAAAATGGAGGCTAATGTTTCATGCTGCTTCATATGCCTTTCTCACACAGCCTGGGATAGGCTTCTAATACAACAGGTGTGCAAACACACACACACACAAATTCCTCCAAGCCATGAAACTCACAGCATGTCCACTGGAAAAGGTTTGTGACAGTACTGACCCTTGGGAGTTGAGTCCACTTAAACTTGGAGGGTATGATGTTTCCATTTGGAATCTATGCTAAAGGAATCTCTTGTCATGTTCAGATATAAAAGAATTTTGGGTAGTACCATCATTTTTCTACTTTAAAAGTCTAGAAACAATGTCAAAAAGCTTGACTTTGTTTTGTTTCCTGGGATAAGAGAGGAGAGTCTACAGGTTTGCATTTAGTTAAAAAAAAATCAAATGCCAGGTATGATGGCATATATCTGCTATCCCAGCAGAGGGAAGGTTGAGGCAGGAGGATCACTGGGAATTCCAGGCCAGCTTGAGCTACATAGTGAGTTCAAGGGCAGCCTGGACTACATAGGGAGACTCTGTCTCGGGAAAAAAAAAAATCACAACTCCAGCGACAGGAAGTAGGTATCAATGACTCTTGTGACAATGAAATACCAAGATATCTGCCAGATAACAAGCATTCAATCCAGGGTGGTGACTGTCACCCCAAGCCCCCAGCCCATGAAGCAGGCTCTCTCCTGCCCCTCCTGCCTTGGGCTTGTGAAACTGCCTAAAACACAGTTTCCCCCTGGGTCTTGCTCACCTCCCTGGCTGCTGCTGTGGTGGGCGACTACGATGGTGAACTCTCAGCTGGGCTTTAGGGTTCAGCCAGGGAATTAAACCTTTTTATGTTCAATCTTAGCTATTTAAATATTTACCGCTAGGACATTACTGCACATCTGGAAAAGGCTGAGTGATATTTCTAAGTCCACTGCAGAGAAAACTGG